TTATATAGAATATTTATAGATTTTTCATAATTTGTTCTCTCTTTTATTTTTATTGACTCTTTTTTTATTTTATTTTGTTTCAAAGACAGTCTGAATAAAAATAGCTGCTGCAGATTTCTTTTGGTCCAGTTAGTGTGTTAAGTCACGAGTTGTGTGAGGACTCAGGACTTTTGCTGGGCAGAGACGCCCTTCCAGTAGTCTAAGATGTCGTGAAGATCCTCGTCTTTGGCAAACTGGACCTTTTTGCGTAGGGCATGGCCGGCTGCCATATACTCCTCCTCGTCTTTGTGCCGCTTGCGGTTGAGTTTGAAGCGCTCCCAGATGCTGTGCGATGGTTTGCAGGTGTACTCTGGGCTGGAGGTGTAGCTCAGGTTGTGATATTGAGGCGAGAGCTGGGAATAGGCCAGGTCTCTGGGGCGAGGACGGGTCAGAGGCTCCAGGATGGAGGGCTTTCGCCCCACCATGCTGTCATGCTGCTCCCCTTGATGCGAGCCAGGGTATGAGTGCCGGTGTTCACTGTACTGACGTATCTTCTCTGCCTCTGCCCGCAGGATGGCTGCGGCTGGTGTCACAGTGAGGATGGTGTCAGTGGTGGGAGACGTCTTCTCAATGTATTTGGCTTCTGATTTGTGGCCCGATCCCTCGGAGCGGTAGGACCTGGGGCTCCGTATGGAGCCACTGGAAGAGGTGCTGGAGCGTTTGGGGGCCGCCTCCATGCTGTGGTGTCGCTGGAGAGGGTGGTTGTAGCTTTCCTTGTAGACTGGGGAGAGGAATCCATGCTTGCTGGGGATTTGCTCTGATAAGAGCACCAGCTGAGGCTCCACTGTGGAGACTGCCCCCGATTTCACCCCTTGGAAGGAGGTGGACTCAGATTTCAAGGCATCAATGCAGTTGTTGATGATCTGGTTCACTTTGTCCACCTCCTTGGCAATGGTGGAGATCTCAGCCACAGAGCTCTGGGTATCCGGCGGCAGGGACAGCTCACAGTCTCGCCTCTCAGGCTGCTCACCTGTCCTCACCTCCATGTAGTTGCCCTTGGTGGCCTTGGGGGTCTCACTGCTGTCAATCAGCTTGTACTGCTCGACCTCGCCAGCAGAAGGCAGGTAGGGGATGCGGGTCACCGTCTCCCCGCCCAGCATCTGTCCCTGGGACAGCTGGGTGATGCTGGTGGTCTCCATTTCTGGCCCATATTTCAGCTCAATGATGGTCTTCTTCATGCTGCCGGCAGCCTTTTTGTGCTTCTCCTCCTGCTGGCGCCTCTTCCGGAGACAGTAATACACAACGCCCAGGACAATCACCATGCCAAAGAGACAGCCCAGGATTGTCATGATATAATGAGTAGCAGTGGAAGGGGTGGGCACCGGCTCCTTGCGGTTGGGTCTGGTGGGTGTGATGGTGACGCAGGTGTGGTTGTACTTGGAGTATTGGTGGACAGAGACTACACAGTAGGTGTAATCTCTTTGTGCTACTAGGTTGCTCACGGTGATGTTCTCCTCCTTCTTCCTGAGCTTGGTGATCATGGAGGAGAAGCCGTTTTCAAACTGTGAGAGGATGTACATCTTGCTGAAGGGGTAGGGGATCTGCACGGTGAGGACGGCTGAGTTGTGGTTGAGGTGTTTCACCTGGATGTTGGGGCGCACCTCTGTTTCACTGATGGGTGTGAACAGGGAGAACTGCGGGGTCGTGCCGTCACCGGAGGAGCACTCCTCCTCGGAGCAGGGGCTTTCGGAGGGTGCCGTGGTCACCTGGTACCTGGGAGGGATAAAACGAGGGATCACAGTGTAGGAGCCACCGGTGCAAAGGGAAGAGAGCATGCTCAGAGCATTGCGATAGCCAGTCCGGCCTTGGCCTAACAAGTAGTAACCCGTGTAGTCGGGTGGGGAGTCGCACTGCATCCGGTCATACGTGCGTGTCATGTTGGTGAAAGCCTCCAGCCATTGCAGGAAGCCAAGGAGCTCGCAGGAGCAGTAGAAGGGGTTACTGTAGAGTTCACAGACAGAGAGCTTGTTTAGGCCCCGAAAAGTGTTGCTGTCAAGTCTCTGGATCCTGTTCATGGACAGGTCAATGTTCACTATGTTGGGGCACTCCCAGAAGGCATTGGGGGTGACGGACTCAATGAGGTTGGCCTGGAGATAGAGGTACTCCAGCTTCCCCAGGCCTCGGAGGATGCCCTCAGTGAGGTTCCTCAGTCGGTTGTAACCCAGCTGCAGCACCTGGAGGTTGAACTGTCCTGAAAAGGCACCATCCTCGATGTAGGAGATCTCGTTCTTCGTCAGGTTGAGGTATGTCAGGTTGCCGAAGCGGCTGAGGGAGGCGTACTGCACGCTCTTGATCTTGTTGTCATTCAGCCGCAAGTCCACAATGGTGCTGTTGATTTGCTGGGGGATAGACTCGTAGGGGGGCTGGTTTTGGCTGCAGATGGCCAACCAGACAAAGCCCTTGTCCCCCTCAATGAGCCAGCAGTCTGCCCGCACCCCGCCGGTGTGCAGGAGAGAGACGGCGGCCACGCACATGCAGAGGGCTGACGTCGCGGCCCACCGGCGACCTGCCATCTGGAAGGGCGGCGCGGAGAAGGGGTTCCTGGTCTGCCAGAAGTGGGGAGCGGGACAGCGGCCAGGAAGATGTGGACTAGTGCTTCTTCGGCAGCTTCGCTCGCCTCTGCCTTCTTTTTTTTAGATGGGGGGGGAGTGTCCGTGGAGAAAGCGGGCCTTGGTACCCACAGTGCTCAGCAGCCACCAGCCAGGGGCTACTACCAAGGCCTGGGTGGCTGAGGCTGGTCCCACATCACCAGGTCTCTGGCATCTCAGGGAGGGAGTCATGAAGTTAGGTGCTTGTGCGGAGGAGTCCCTCTGGCTTAGAGACAAGCCTTTGTCTCACTTTTTATAGTACATCTCCTCATTTTCTTTTTGCTGCCCATTATGGCACTGGTCCCCATCTCCATGTGCCTCCGTGGGTCTGGCTGTCCCCGCTCAGTCCCTCGGCTCACCTGCTCGAAACAAAACACAAGCACAAACTGAACACAAAGCAAAGACAGCATTTAGAGATGTTGGAAATGCATCCAACTACCCTCTTAATGTTAGGCACTTGCCTTCTAACTCTGGCTGCAACCTTTCAAGGAGCCTTTGGTTTATTTGGGCGCTGCCACCAGTGGCATTTGGCAGCATGAGGGAAAGTGGTCACTGATCATGGAGGTCACCCTCCTTTAAGTGTGTTGTCCAGCACCACATCCTAGGCAGGGGAGAGACCAACACACATCCAGGGCACCGTTTGCCTGACCTATTTAGGTGTCTACCTTAGGAGGAGAGGAGTGATGCCCCAGAAGTGTCTGTTCCTCTCCACTGAGAGCAGATGAAGTCTAGACAACTCTCTCTGATGTAGATTTGATGCTGCAGCGTTTTGCTGAGGGGAATCCTAACTGTCTCGCGTGCTGATGTGCGCAGCAGCGGTGCCCACAGAGGGGGATGCTGATTGAGGACACTGTGTCTCTCTGACTGCATTGCTGCATAGCATCTAGGATAAAGCCCAGCATCAAGCACCTGTCCTGTTTCTGGGAACCTGAGCAGTAGTTTCAGGGCGCTCTGACTACAGAACATGCTAGTGTGATTGTCCACCATCTGATGTCCTTGCCTGTGGTTGAGGCTTGCTACCTCAACCTCCAAGACTTCTCTCTTCCTCCTGGGTGAAATGATGCAGAGGTGGGGAGGACCCTCAACCACTCAGTTGTACAACAAGAGTATTTGCAGAAGACAGGACAAGACCTTCCCTCCTTAGCCAGAACGGCCATTTGAAGATCAGGAAGAGTCTTCACTAGACACAAACTAATGGGGAAAGAAACCTATGGGGCTGCCAGCAGCTTCACTTCCCACAGAAAAACTCTCATTCCTGGCTCACTTTTTCCATTATTTTTTCCTGCATTTTTGACTAAACATAAATATCCATCAACACCATTTCTACTGTCTTTTGTAATTTCTTAGGGAAACAGGAAGGCAAAGGTGGAAAGGAGGGAACTGCATAAGCATCAGCATCTCCTGGGTCATGCTTTTCCACAAGTTGTTGAAAATATCATCTGTGGACATCTCTACTGCTAAACAGCTCTCTGGGCTGATAGGATAGATGCAGTGAGGTGTTGTGGCAGAGATGGAGTTGCCCACAAATGGGGAGAAAACATCATGGCCTATCTAGAAAAATCCTTCTGGGGACTTCTGTTGGGAATGGGAGCTCTGGTTGTCTCCCTTGTCCCAGGGCAGACCATAGGAGGCAGGGAAGACACCACCAGCACTCCTTGAAAACACAGCTGGTAGGAACTGGAGGTTTCTTAGGCATCCATGAAGGAGACAGGGGCACATCTTACATCTAAATTGTCTTTCATTGGATCTGCAAAATAGTATAAATCCAGAAATGGGTTTCCAAACCATTTCCCAGTGCCCAGGCAGTGAAGGGACTGTGCTGGGTGCTGCACGCCTGAAAAACACATGAGGGTGATTGTCAAGGGGTGTTTAGGGACAGATGCCATACTCTCACCCCAGTCCTGAAGAAACCAGGTTCTTTTCTGCCCATGATACCAGGCAATGAGTAGACCATGTTTCACTACAGAGATCCCTGTTAGCCATTCACAGTTTATACCTCGGTAAACAGGCCAGTAATAATAAGCAGTAAACCAGTTTATTTGTTCTTTCTGTATTGTGAACAACAAATCTATTCCCTGGTGGCACAGCTGGGTTTCCATTACATGAATAACAAGATCTGGTCTCGCATCAGCTCTCTGCACATGAGACTCTCTGGCCACCTTGTCCTCCAGCAGATGCCCCACCAGCTGCTAGGGGAGGTGAGGCTGTAGGGGAAACCACCAGCCAGACACCCAGTGCCCCCACTGAGGAAAGGGTGTGTGGTACACCCTTCTTGCAGACTGTAACGTCTGCGGTGGGTGTGCAGGTGTGTGTGGGTAAGAAGTACTGGCCCTAAGGTGATGCTTCTGTGGGGTCCTGCCTGGGCACTTGCAGGTGTCTCTGCCTCCCCAGTGCCAGGTGCTGTCCTATCCCAGCTACATTTGGCAGAAAGCTCAACACCACCAGGTTTTCAAAAGTTTACTAGAAATGGGGGTCTGGGTGGAGAAGATGCTGAAGGCAAGGCAGCTGAATCTCAGGTCTTCTCCTTTCTGGGGTTAGAAACATGGACTTTAGCATGCTTTTACATTGCTATTCTAGCTGAAGCCCTTATATCACTGCAGTGATACTGATATTGCAGGTAACCCCATTTTAGGGAATAGTACCTGCCTCGCTGGCAGGAGCACATTTGCAAGGATGTGCTGTCCCTTCCCTGGGATGCTTTACCAGGACCTGGCAGCCCATTTTGGTGTAGCTGAGCCCTTGGAGCCAGCAAGGAAGGGAAGAGGGACTGTGCTCCCTGGGGTGCTGCAGGTGAGTGCCCTCCCTTACCATCCCCAGCTGATGGGGAGGCACGGGCTGCAGTGCCAGGCTGAGAGCCGTCTGCTGCTACATCCCTCCTGGCACTGGGCAACTCAATTAACCTCTCTGCCTTCCAATCTCCTCTCTGGTACGGTGAGATAATGATAGCGCTTCATGGGGCTGTGGGAGATTGAAGGAAAGTGCCCTGAGCTCCTCTTGTTGGGATGAAAATCCCAGCAGATGTGTTGTGCTGCAGGTGGAGAATTTTGCTCCCTCTGGTTGCAAGCTGGGGTCTAGATGTGCCCGCTATCCTCTGCCACAGGGACCAGCCTCTCCAGCCCCTCAGCTTGCCTCCCAAGGGGGGTGCATGTTGCCCCTAAGGATGTGGGAGAAGGGCAGTGATGGGTAGAATCATAGAATCATCTAGGTTGGAAAAGACCTTTAAGATCATCCAGTCCAACCATTAACCTACACTACCAAGCCCACTCTAGACTAATCAAGGGTAGACCAGACTAAACCATATCCCGAAGTGCCACATCTACCCGTTTTTTAAACGCCTCCAGGGATGGTGACTCCACCACCTCTCTGGGCAGCCTGTTCCAATGCCTGACCACCCTTTCCGTAAAGAAATTTTTCCTAATTTCCAGTCTAAACCTCCCCTGGCGCAGCTTAAGCCCATTTCCTCTTGTCCTATCGCTAGCTACTTGGGAGAAGAGACCAACACCCACAACTACCAACTACCACACAACACCCAACACAACCAACTACCACAGGTAGTCCCAGCCTGCAGAGCCGTCAGCAGTGGGTTGCCCCAGTTGTCGGATTGGGATGGCGTGGAGGGTGCTTTCTTTGCCTGCTGCCCCACAGTGCTTGCCTTTGGTATGAGCACCTCCCTTCCCTCCTCCATGGGCTTGTGCATTACAAGGACCTCTTGCAGGCAGGGGAAGTGCTGCCGAATTGAGACAGCACAGGCAGCACGGCGCAATGCATTGTGGCATATTCTTTTTAGCAAGCACTTACTCTGTCTCCCCTGACTCCCATTTTGACCCAACCATCCTCTCTGGGCAAGCTTGTGTTTGGGATTGCTCTGCAGAGCCAAACCAGCTTTTTTCTTGCAGGGGGAGGTTTCTTGTCACTCCTCCCTGGGGAGGCTGTGGGCTGCACCCTGTGTCAGAGGGCATTAGCTAGTGGAGCGGGACCATCCCGTGAGCAAAGAGCAGAGAATAGCCTCCACGGACCTTGCCAGACTGATCCCCTATAGCCTTCTCATCACCTTTGTGCCTCCCTCATCTAATTGGAGGTGTTGGGGGTGAAGAAGAGCAATGCTAAATGACTCAAACACATTCAATAAGGCTCCTGCTGTGTGTTTTCTCTTCTTTCCTGTATGTTGCCTATCAGACAAGTCCTTCCCAACAACAGAAGGGAGAAAAGGCTTTTTATCAGCAGCCTGAGTTTAATTTCAGCTCATTAAAGCAAGCAATTTGCTGGTTTATTTGCTTTGCAAAGTGTGAATAAAATGACAGCATTAAGGAGATGTAAGAGAGGAAAGAGGGGCTAATCTCCCTCTTTATTAGATTGCCAGGCCATGACTGGGGAGTGGAGAACTGGGTCTTGTTGCTTTGCATAGAAAGGATAATTGTTCATCTCGTTGGCTCCTGAAAAGCTCCTTCCCAGCATCACGCCGATGTGAGTGCATGTGGGTGTGCGCCTGCGTGTGTGCACTGCAACATCGGCCAAGTGCCGAGCATCCCGCAAGGCAGGACGGGAGCAGGGGCTCTCGCAGTGGTTCCCAACTCACCCCCCTGTAAGCAGATAACAGACATCTGGGAGGTTTCTTCCTCTTCCCTTTTCTACCTTTTACCTCCCTTCTAATCTCCCTTTTCTGTTCATTTCTGCTTCTGAAATCCTGGGCTTGATTCTTGCAGGCTAGAAAGACAGCAGCCAGTCAGCCAAGGAGCCTTTGCTGTCCCCAATCTCCTGCAGCTGGGACGTGGCTCTAGAGAGAGGACACCCCACTCCCCGCCCCTTCCTCACAGACTGGATAAAAATCAGTAAGAAAATCTAGTGTTTTAAGTCTGGTCTTTGCCCAGCTGTCCTGGTTTTATTCTCTTGGTAACCCAACCGCACACCACTTTTCCCATTCCTCT